ATCTTATAACTTGTAAAACCTTATAAAATAGCTTGTAAAATCTTATAATATCTTATAAATACGTTGTAAAACCTTTTAAAATACATTGTAAAACCTTATAAATACCTTGTAAAAAACCTTTAAAATACCTTGTAAATTTTTCCCGCCAAAAATTTTCCCGCCAAAAATTTAGCACAAAAAAAATTGCGGAATCACTTTTCCCGCAAAAAAAATTTTTGGCGGGAAAAAATTTTACGGGAAAATTTTACAAGGTATTTTAAAGGTTTTACAAGTTTTTACAAGTGTTTTTGGCGGGAAAAATTGTGGGATCACTTTTCCCGCCAAAAATATTTTGTATTTTGTGAACCTAATTTTGTTATATTTCCTTATATATTTGTAATATCTTTTATTAAAAGAAGGGTAATTTAGTCATTTTGTACATAAAAAGGGGTATTTTTAAAAATGGACAGCCAAATGGGGCATTTTTGAAAAGGGGTATTGAAAAAGGGGCATTTTTGTGAGTCTCCCATTTTTTTTTGCAAAATTTAAAATATTTGAACCCTCCCAAGTAACTAATCTACTATACATTTTTGCAGCAGTTTTTGGGGTACCCAAATCGGGTCAAATTTGTTTAATTTTGACCCGGAAATCTTCAATCGGATCTTTCTTTAAATTTTGGCAAAATTAAAAAACGAAAATAATTAATAAAATCTAAAATATATATACTTTCTCAACTAATTACTATATTTAAACACTTTATTTATGGTATATTCTCCACGATTTTTATAGATAAAGAAATCAAATATGATGATTTAATGCTAATATAACAAATTTGCACTAATTTCCTAAAACCTCTCTACCTAATTTAAACATAAATATATGATTCTTATTTCACTTTTATTTGATCTTATATTTATATTATTTTAAATTATTATAAAATATATAAATAGTTAGTAAATTTTAGTTTTTTTTTTTCTGCATATGTTACAATTCAAATTTTTTAAAACGGACATATATTACTCAATCGATGAATAAAAATATGTGTGTAATCTATATTAACAATTTTAAGAACAAATTGAGCATTTAATCATGTCGTTATTTTATTCAGACCCGAAATTGAGTCATTCGGATCTTTCTTTAATTTTTACAATTATCTAAATGGAACAGTATATCACGGGTGAAATCCTAATTAGTATTTTCATATACAATTATAAATTGTTTTTACGGGTTGGTCCAAAAACACACACTAATTTAAAAATATACATGGAAACTATTTGAAAGCAACTTTCAAATTAACTCGAATTATATGACATTTAAATAAAAGTGTTATTAAAAAAATAACAAAATGATGTTTAATTTCATTTTAGATTATATGGTTGGATGGGTTTGGGTCAATATTAATACGAGACAATATACCACAGGTGAAATCCTATAAATAACAAATCAAAATACAATTATACAATCTTAAACACTAAACAAAACAAATACAACTTAAAATTTTTTATTTTAGATACAACGCATGTGACCCGCGGTATACAACAAAAAATATTATACACAATAAATTCATCAATTTATAAAAATAAAAAAATCAAATAATTAACCCGCGGAGTACCGCGGGTCATATCCTAGTTAATATGATAACTACTAATTAAAGTTTTTAAAAATGCATGCAGATACACAGCATTGGTGGAGAACAATGTAGTCCAAGCAGCAAAAGACATGCAAAGAGTCATGACCGTATCCATGATATCTCAAATAGCCGAAGATTCATCATCGGAGCAAGAACAACCACCGACTTCCTCCTACAAACTCTTCTCTCGGCGTTTCCTCAGCCTCCACGGCCGAGACCTCTTCGCAGCCTCAGCCAATTGGTTCCTCGTCGACGTCGTCTTCTATACAA